ACGATGGAGCAGATTAAACTAGTGCGAGCAGTACAGTCGCAGCATTAAGGCAGAGATTACGCATCAATATAAGTAGGGATGCTTCTGGCATATACTGCATGCATGCAGGGTCAGTTTGGTCAATGACACCAGCTAGGAGCTCTCTAACACACGCACCGACGAAAACCTGATGGAGACCCGGGAGCGATTGATCGCTGTGCGCCGCGTGTTTCAGGGGGACGCCATCGTTTTCTAGGGTTCGTTGCAGTTGCGTCGATTAGCTAGGCGTCGACGATGGCCGCCGTGCACTTTTCCGCACGTTCCCCTCGCCTGTTTTCTATCGTTTTGGCAGGTCAAACTGCCGCTTACTTGGCTGATGATTAAGATCTCGCCCCCCCTCGAATCCGCAAAGTCGTTTTATTTCTTCGCCCTCACACCAACAGGGCGCGTATACTAATCGATCCCTTGCGTGTTGCTGGTAACACGTACGTAGAGTGCTCCGTTTAATCTGATGGAGCGGCGGAATCTTGTGGCTGTTTCACGTGGATCCCATTTATTGTGAGCTTATGGGGCGCTAATTAGACTTCAGTGTCTCCCATACCTGCTAATAATTGTGCCTGTGCCACAGTGTGAGATCTTCTTCCATATGCACATGCAGCGCAGATATGTGTCCCAGTCGTGGAAACGCATATTCCAAATCTACGACGCCTTCTAATTTGGCTTGCGGCGTGAGATGGTATCCCCTATTGCTTTGCCTTGCAAAAAGGATCGCAGAAGGTAGAAACCGAGCGGAAGAAGCTAAGAATCTGACGTTGCTTTTCTCTGTGAGTGCGAAAGAGATGGTTAATTAGGCCGGACGAAGAGTAGTGGTGGAGGAACGAGACGTTCTTCTGTTGGCAAGTCAACCAGGCTGAAAGTTGTTTTGTTGTTATATATGCAAGCTTCTAAAACTGAATTTGAAACCATTGACTTACGCGTAAACATGACTCGTTTCGGTCGCACCACAGGCTGGAGATTAACTTAAAAAGATTGATTAAATACATTGCTAGAATTTTAAATGTTAACCATATTTTTTAGCTAGTTTTTCATTGGAAATGAGCCACATATGAATGCTAACAAATCCAAGTAAGAAGATGTAGTAGCAATAAAAATCACTGTCGTCTCTGTAACTTGCATGTATCGGTTGGCCAGCGGCGATGACCTTTCCAAACGATGATGTCCTTTCCAGAGGAAAAAAGAAAGTTCACAAACCACAATTTACTGAATGAAGTACAAAAATATCAGGGAAATAACCATTTTTAGGGTACAAAAATAGTCAGATCAGGTACAGGTCCATTAAACTCTTTCACGTGAACGAGTCATAGGGGAAAGCATGGGGGTGCATTACTGACAGTCGGCCCCGCGCCCGCGTGGCCGACGCAGGGGAACCCCATGACGCGTCCGCCAGGGACCCGATCCCAGATGCTCCACGTTACATCCTCCTCTTGAATTGAAAACGGCGTCCGGTCCGGTCCAGCTCAACCGAGCGGCGCCGTCGGCGGGTGTATGTATCCGCGTCTCCACTCACCGGTTTGAGCTGAGGATGCACGGGGAGATTTGGTACGAGACCACGACCCACCACCGCTTGTTCATGTACCTCGCTTCATGACATGTGGGCCAGTTTGGAATTTTGTTTTTTGCGGGATAAAACGTGCAGTAGCCAAGTTTGAAAAACGCATACAAAAATTGACTGGGTAAGTTTACCGAATGCCAGTGAATTTAGGAACAATGGAATTTGATGATAAATCTTTCTAGACATTCCATTGCCTTGCTATTTTGAGACTTTGACTGGAAAATGGAACCATATAGGGACAAAAACTGGGGTGGTTGTGCGAAACTACCGAACTTTGGAAATGGTAAGTTGGCTAATTGTCTATGATTTTAGGAACGATGAATTTGATGTAAGAACTTTCTCAACATTCCATTGCCTCGCTTTCAATATATCAAAATCTCTTACATTTCTATCGATTATAGAATTAAACCATGACATGAAAAATAATGTTAAAAAACACAAAATACGAAATGATTAGGCACTAATCTACTAAATTGTCGCTATTACGATTGACCACAATCCACAGATGCTCGTAAATATATCCAAACATATCATATGACTGATAAACCATAATAAATGTACCTATTTTTCTTAACATGTTAGAAAATGTAGTTACATACGTCCGAGTTGTCGGAGCAACAAGATTGAAACTAAACATATCATAGACAACTAAATTTTAGATAAATTATAACCAAACATGTCTAGTGCTTTAGATTTTCTTACTTGTATATGAACACATTTACAAATGACATCCAGAGGGTGGATCCTTGTAAATCACTCGGCTAGCATCACCCAATGGAAAGAATAAATTCCTCACATTTTCCTGCACTGCTAGTTATGTATGTGCAACATACAATCCAGCATTTTTAAAATTCTGATTTTTTTATTAATCAATGTTTGCTTCTTCGGATTTACTTAATCAATTTTGCAATTGGTGAATATCAATATCTTCGGCAATGGACGCAAGCCGCCAATGGTGGCACGGTTCGTGGCTTACAGGGTCGTGGTCTAGGCATCATGTCGAGTGGTTTGGAAACATTCCAAATTAAGATGTTTGTATTTTGGATTGCTAATTACGCTATCTTGATTGATTGATACAATGTTTATTTTTGGAATGCTAATTATGATGATTTGATTCGATTGATACGAGGTTTCTTATTTGAAATGCTAATCACAATGCAGAGATTGCTAATTATAGTGTGTTGATTGATTAATACAATGTTTATTATGGAATACCAATTATGATGATTTGATTACAATGTTTCTTTTTAGTGCTAATTTCAGTGTGTTGATTGCTAATTACGATGCTTTAGTTGGTAGAATGTCATTGGAGCAATGCAGGCCATCGGGTCTAAGATAACAAAGGGATGATGTTCCATGTTTCTGCCACAACTCGCTTGCTTAACAATAGTGGAGATTTATTTCAGCTTGTTTTCCTCGATTTTCGTTGAGTGTGAGGAGACATTACAGTCAACTACGAGGCGGCTATAGTGCCTTCATCAATCTTAAGATGTTTTACTGACTTAGTATCTCAGAGGTGCTTATAGAGGTAGGGTGTGCATTGCGTTTATAGGATGAGTGTATGTACGTGTATGTGAGCATATACAATTATACTATGTTCAAAAATATTATAATAAATATTTCCAGCTTCAAGATCAAGTAAAAGAGCGGAAACAAACGACAACCAAGCAAAAACGAACTCTCAAATACGACGAACAACCAGGCATAAACTCATGATTTTTTTTCAAAAACTCCAAGACCATAATAATTTTTGCGAAAAAAGTTTGATCTATTATAATGAAAGTTCACCGGAAGCATGAAGCACTCTAAATACAATGCAAATTACATTGATGTCATCGAACGACCACTACTGTCACTAGAACGAGCCAATGACACATCGTAGTCACCGCTCCTCTATCGGAGTTGGCCTAACCTTGTCGATGATAGACGGGTAGTCTTGGTGCATGTGCCCCTAAAGACCAGCGCCCTATAGTCGTAGTCACCAACGTTGAAACCCCGAACTGGCCAGAAGCACATGTCACCAGAACTCATCGATGCGTACGCACAACGAGAAACCCCACCTCACCGCCCCGAGAAGACCGCATGAATATGTGCTGGAGCCCCGTTTGTTCCGTCCCGTTGGACGATTTCGAGATGGATTGGTGCCCAAAACGCCATCTCGACGATGAAGCGCCACCATTATCGAGCATCTCCTCTACGAGGGCCATACCATCCTCGACCCGCCCTCCGATGGTATGAAACACCACCGGAGCAAAGGTAAAGCAGGGGAGAATTTATTCCATGCCAACGGTGCCGCCATCATCTCATTGCCGTCGGTCGGCAACCCCTGAATTGTTCTTACCTATACCACTCGCGGACCAAAGCCTTGGGGTCCGCATCTCCTCCCGTCGTCAAAGCGGTAAATGGAAGGAGAGGGGGCCTGCGGTCACTATGGTGGAAGTGGGTAGATTGACCACCGCCCTTTTTGCCTTAGTAGTGATAGTAGGGTGGAAAGGACCCTTCATAGCTCCATAACCACTTGATCTTTTTAAGAACTAGATTATATATGTCATAATGTCTAAGTACGTCCAACGAGTAAGAATTCCATGGTAAAAATGTAAAGCAATGCCATGCATGTAAAATTCCATAATGAGGATTTTCGAATATTAGTAATTCGAAGTAATTTGAATACAGTTGCAAGACACATAATTCCGACAATAATGTATATGAATCGAAATGAAATCCCAATCTATAAAAGTGAACTCTCAAATAGTAGACAACCTATGTGTAAGCATCCATCCATTAGTTGTGAAAAGGTCCATGAACCACAATCTCCAAAACACTAAGATTGTATGGCTCATAACTTTTTGTGAACTAGGCAAATTCCAAACTAAAAGAACAAGCTTGCCAAACTATAAATAGTACACAAACTTTTGCACTGTACAAGCAAGAAGAAAAATAGACGACATCTCATTGACCATTGGACTGGAAAATAGGCCATGGAGTGAAAATTCCCAACGCGTCCCACGAGGACCGAAATGCGCGTGCCCATAGCAGACCACCCATTATCCACGCTTTCACAAGGCCGAGCGAAACAAAACGCTAGGGCCACACACAGTTCAAACGCGGGACCCCACAACGCCTGCCGACATGTGGGCCCGTCAAAACGAGCCAACAACGTGTGGATCTAAAAACTAGTCTCCGGCCTGTCCCATTCCAGTCACCCACCGGTAAGCTCACCGCCGTCGGTGGCCAGTTTATTTCTGGGCAGCGGCCCCTTCGCGTATATATGCACGCAATAGACGCCAAGGGGGAAGGCAGGGAGAGAGAAAGAGAGGCCCTGAACCGGAAGCAAGGAAGAGGCGAGCGACGACGAGGAGGAGGAGGAGGTTGTTGGTAGGCTGTTGAGAGGAAGCTTCTAGAAGCCGCCATGGGGGACTCAAGCGGGTCGGTGTCCATCGACGTGGAGCGGATCTACTTCGGCGGCAAGGTCCGTGCTCGCATTCCGGTTCTTGATTGATTGATTCCCCGTCCCTTCGTTCCGATGGCGGGGGCATTCTTGTGGGGAGGATTGATTTGTGTAGGGCGGGCTCCGTGGGGTTTCCGTTTGCTCTTCTTGTTTGGTCTGTTAGGGTGGTTGGGCGGAGGAGCTTCTTCTTGCTGATTTCTGCCCCTTTATTATTATTATCCCCACCTGTTCTTAATTAGTTGCAAATTGAGGATGCTATGCCAGATTGTTACTATGCCTCCTCCATGGGGGAAAACCGCAAATTGTATTAAGGATTAGAGATATTAGCTGCTGCGTGGCCGGGCTTGTTATTTATTCTGTCAGACCAAATGAAATTCTTAGTTATGTTGTGGTTGCAATGCTGCTCATGAGTAGGAGCAAGAAGAAATCAGGCTTAGAATTTGGTACTATTTTTCATTTTAAATGTATAGTTGCAACGGCCCCTGGTTTACGATTAGAAGCATATGAAGCAACGTCAGGAAGCGTGCTCATGCTATTTCTGTGTGTTAAGCAACGTATGGTGGCTGTTTTACCAAGGAAGAAGCATTTCTGGAATCTGGTCAATTGGGGATGGTCTAAATTAGAATGGTTTGTTTACAGCTGTTACTAAATTTGTGTCCTTGTGCCATGTGATTTATCAGGAGCATCCTGTGAGAACAAGATACGGCTTTGTATCTGTTTCTGTATACGGCGATGAAGACAAGCCAGCGCTCATAACGTACCCCGATGTAGCTCTAAATTGTGAGTGCTGTCGTTTTCTTTGTGGTTGGTGTTTATAAATTTTGCTATAACAAGGTAGCTCATGTGTTGTATTCCTGTTTGGTAGACATGTCCTGCTTCCAAGGATTGTTCTTCTGCCCAGAGGCTTCGTCCCTGTTGCTTCACAATTTTTGTATTTACCATATTACTCCTCAAGGCCATGAGGTCAGTCATCATCATCTGTTGCTCCATATTTTACATGATCATCTGCTCCTATTACCTCCGGTTCTTACATGTTTGCCTTTCATGGCATCTGCTGTCTTACAGTTGGGAGCGGCTCCAATTCCATCGGATGTACCTGAGCTATCTGTTGATAACCTCGCGGATCAGGTCGCGGATGTTCTTGATTTCTTCGGGTAAAATATCTGATAATTGGCTTACTTTTTATCATATTCTGCTGGTGCCTAAAGGAGTCCTCTGATGTTATTGTGGCATTGCTCTTGCAGTTTGGGGTCTGTGATGTGCATGGGTGTCACCGCCGGTGCCTACGTGCTTACCCTCTTTGCGGTAAGTGTTTGCACGATTAGCCCTTTAAAGCTTGCTATTTGATTTTGGCTAACAATTTGTTTTAATGTTATCCCAGGCAAAGTACAGGGAAAGGGTTCTTGGCCTGATGTTGGTTTCACCTCTATGCAAAGCCCCATCTTGGAGTGAGTGGTTGTATAACAAGGTAATGATTGGTACTTCAGTTTCAGCCATGAATTTATCAGTGCCTTATTTCTTTGTGTATACTAACCTCATATTCTGACCTTTTAGGTATTGTTAAACTTACTTTATTATTGTGGCACTAGTGGACTAGTGAACGAATGCTTCCTTCAGCGGTATTTTAGCACGGTATATTTCGTCCTCCATAAGCTTCTTCTGTTTGCACCATTGTACCTATTTAAGTCCCACTGAACATCTCTTTTTGCTACATACAGGAAGTTCGTGGAAGTGGACAAGAACCTGAATCGGAAATTGTCCAAGCTTGTAGAAGTGTAAGTTTTTTCTCCCCTAGCAGCTTTCTAGTGTTTTTTCTAGAATGTCAATTATCTCCACAGTTTAAATATCTGACTGAGGTCATGATTACCTTTTTATGCAGTTACTTGATCAGAGGCAGGGTGTTAATGTATGTCGATTCCTTAAAGCAATCAACGAGTAAGTAAACAATATCTTTGCTAGGCATTGCCTGTAAATGCCAAACAAATTTGGATCTGTGCTCACCCAGTTCATCAACCTCTCTATCTATCAGGAGACATGACTTAACTGAAGCACTGAAGAAGCTCCGGTGCCGGACGCTGATTTTTGTGGGCGAGAACTCACAGTTCCATGCGGACGCTGTCCACATGACCACAAAACTAGATCGGAGATATTGCGCTCTAGTCGAGGTACCACACATTTCAACAATTCATGTGATCACTTGAGAACCATACCCAGAGTAAGGCAGGTTCTGAGGAGTGTTTTTGTGGGCAAATCGCAGGTTCAGGCATGCGGGTCGCTCATCACCGAGGAGCAGCCACATGCAATGCTGATCCCGATGGAGTACTTCTTGATGGGATACGGGATGTACAGACCGTCCCAGCTCGAGAGCAGCCCCCGAAGCACCCTGAACCCGTTCTGCATATCGCCAGAGCTGCTGTCGCCCGAGAGCATGGGGGTGAAGCTGAAGCCCATCAAGACCCGGGCCTCCCTCATTGTCTAAAGAGTGCTGCTACACAGACGACGCTGCATAGCCGATTTTGGGACGACACTATCAATCAAACCATCCATGCAGAGGATAAACTGTAGCACAACCATTGGATGTAGTGTCGTCTCCAAATCGGCCAGCGTGTGTCGTTTGCTAAGTAGTTTCGTTGTCTAAACAACATGTGGGGGGAGATCTTGGATGGCCTGACGACACAGCTCGCAAAAAAGCGAAGACTGCTTGGTTGAGCTGATCGGAGCACGGTCACCATCGCGAGACAAGTTTTGATACCTTCCGGTACCTTGGCACGCACGCATTGCATAGATCAAGATCGATACGCTAATGGCAGCATTTGCTGTAGTGGATTGCTGTAAGCCTGTAATCTACGTCTTCTGGGATAGGCAAGCAAGGGGGAATAGGGTGAGGTTGTAGGGGAGGAATACGGCTGTTTGTTTCTTTGTTGATATGCTTTGTAGTAGTCCACATCACATGTGTATATGTCATCATCAGATCATTTCACACAGGAAAGCAATATATATATATGGTAAAGCAGAATCCTGTCTGTTGTGGAGTCTCGGGGGCACAGGCTTTGCCTTTGCTGAAAGTTTAGCCCGACTGGCTGTGATGTGCCCTGCTGGTGGCGAGCTATTGCTGTATGTGTCATGGATTGGGTGATCCATTGGTGGTTGGTTCGTTGTGTGTGGGTGAGTGGTGGTTCTACCATCGATGGCTCTGGTTCCTTGTCACTTTACGCTGTACCAACATTGGGCACATGCAAAGCATTGTGTGTGCACGCCATTGCACCAAGCTCAAAGCTAACATAAATGGAGCTCAGCCGCAGCATCAACATTGCATTGGACGCATGCAAAGGGTTGTGTGTGCCAGGCAACTTAGTGAAACAGAGAAGACCAACAAACAACGTCAAATAGACTATTATGCAACAACTGAATTTAGATTTGGAGGCATAATCTAGTAGTACTAGGCATACATATATAAGACAACTTTCTTCTTCTATATATAAACTGCGACCAAGATCAAGCCATCCTCATCGTAGAGTAAATGAGAAGATCTCTTGTTTCACGGATCCGTCGCATTTTTCTTTTTTGCCAATTGGTATTTCAACCCTTTCTTGTCACTGGTAGAGTCAATAGAGATTGTTGATCCTTCAACGGCTTCTCCATTGACCAGCATCTTGGAGATAGTTGTCATTATGTTCTTCTCTATCTATTGACCGGTTTGGATGGCGGTTTCATAATAGGATAGATGGCTAGTGCTCTAGTCCTATTACTATGCCGGTTGTGGCACTGAGTTGTTTTCTTTCTTTATTCTGCTCCTTTTGCGAGCTATTTTGGATTTAAGACTCTGTACTTGCGAACCTTTTAATAATATGGCTGCATGCATCTTTCAGATGCAGAGGCCGAGGGATAACCTCCTTTTTTTTAAAAAAAAATAACCTTTTTATGGGCCTTGCACCATACAACTTGGAAAGGCCAAGTAGTGTTGGTTATCAATAACATGTGGAAAATGGTTCGTTATTTGAATTTTCAAGCTAGATTATATGATTACTTTGAAAACGAAAGATACTTACCGGGTTGTGTGACTCTGACAAATTGACATCCAACGCAGCATCACTTAGAACAAGAGATATGCCCTTGCCGGCTACTCTAGCAAAGGCACTCTTCATTTGGATATTCACTATCTCTTTCAGTTGACAGTGTAAAAGCGGCTCAAATACTACAATCTCGCTTAATCTGTTGAGAAATTCGGGCTTGAAGCATTTTTGAACCTACACCAACAAACATATATCATAATGAATCAATGAGCAGCTGCTTACAAAATTCCAAGTGGACTATTTGTGATTCACAAACCTGTTTCATGAGAAGGTTTCACGAAACAACAATTGTCTTTTCTCCAACCACTCCTACATTTAGGTGCTCTGCCCCAACATTTGAAGTCATAATGATAATTCTATTCTTGAAATCCACATTGTGCCCTTTACCATCAGTCAACACACCATCGTCAAGGAGTTGAAGAAAAACAATCAACACCGACGGATATGCCTTCTCCACCTCATCAAAAAGGATAACACTGTATGGGCGCCTCCTAACTTTCTCGATGAGTTGTCCACCATTTTGACAACCATGATAGCTTTACGATGTTACGAAGAAAAAAACAATTGTATAAGTAAAATAAATATCGTGATATAATAATATGATGCTTGAAATTAAGGTGTGTGCATTATAAATGAAACCTTGGGGGTGCTCCAACGAGACGTAGCACAGATTCAGGACTAACATACTCATACATATCAAAGCGAAGCCTCATCTTCTCACTATCAAATAGCTGTTCTGCGAGAGCTTTCACAAGCTCTGTTTTTCCAACACCCGTCGTGCCCCAAAAGAGGAAGGAACCTATCGGTTGGCCAGCTTGGTGAAGGCCAACCCTGGAACGCAACACTGCTTCTGCAACTAAATTGACGGCCTCATCCTTCCCAACTACTCTCTTATGCAATCTGTCGGCTAAGTGGATTAACTTGACACTCTCCTCTTGATTAAGCGTAGCTATAGGAATTCCAATCCATCCGCTCACAACCTTCAAATGAAAACCTAGTTCAAACATAGTACTACATGACAAGCACACACTGTTGAAATAATAAAAGTGACGTGCATGCCTACCTGTGCAACATGATTCGGCGCAACAACTGTATTTTCTCCTCCTAGCTCCATTGTCGTGCATGCCTCGTCAATGAGATCAATTGCCTCATCAGGAAATCAACTACCTACACATACAGAAGTCTAACAGAACAATGATATGACAACTCGGCTCACAAGCAAATTTCGTTTGAAACAACTGTAACACAGTAATTCAGTAAAATTACTATAATCACCTGCTATATAGCGGTCAGCGAGGTGTACGGCAGCATCAAGAATTTCCAAGCCATAATGCTTTTGGTACCGGGGTTTAAGCCCCTGGAGGATGGCAATTGTGGAATGCGTGCTCGGCTGTTCAACGTGCACCTTTCGGAACCGCCGCTCGAGTACAGGATCCTTTTTTTTTTGAGAACCGTGCAGGATCCTTTTTTTGAGAACCGCCCAGACATCGGATATGGCCACGAGCCAATGCTGGCTTCAGCATGTTGGCCGCGTCCATGTGGGTGCCCGTGGCCGCTCCGGCGCCAAGAAGCATGTGCATCTCGTCGACGAACAGGATCACCTTGCCGCGTGTAGCCGCCCCCTTCTTGAGAACAGTTTGTCTAATTTACATCTAGATGTTTTCTAAGGATGTCACATCTAAACTCCCATAAATAATGCAGCGACAAAAAACAAAAAAAATACTGAGGCAAAAAAATAGATCACAAGCGTAGTGGACACAAGGTTAGATGTGACATATATGTCACATCTAGATGTGTTCTGTTCTAGACAGACCCTCTTGAGAAAGTCCGTCATGCACTCTTCGAACATGCCAACGTACATCGTACCATCCACCATCGCCGTGAGCTTGAGCTCAATGACACGCGCTCCGGCGAGCTTGGACGGGACCTTCCCGGCGACGATGCATTGGGCGAGCCCTCGGCGATGGCCGTCTTGCGGACCCGGGCAGCGCCGACAAGCGCGGCGCAGTTCTTGGTCCGGCGACAGAGGATGCGGTAGGGATGTAAGTGGCAAATAAATGGCGTCTGCAATCCCGTTTAGTTAGTTTTTGCTAGCTTGTTAGTTCATTTTCCTCAAACAAACAAAAAACCTTTTTGAACTATCATATCATAAGTGGACTTTAAACCGGATTAAACGGGACCCGGTTGACATCCCTAGATGCGGATGACGCGATCAATCTCATCGTCACGCCCAATCACCGGATCGGCCTTGCCGGCCATGGCCGTCATGTCCCGGCCGTAGGTGCGCAAGCATGTGATGTACCGGAAGTACCTCCACGCCGCCCAGCACACGGCTCCCGCGCAGAGCACTTCACCGAGCGACACTTTGATGACGTGGCTAGACGACGTATCGTCGGGTACGGCAGAGGAGTCCGTAGTCCCTCTCTCCATGATCCTATCAAGCCATGACCAGGCCATCTGGCCATGGTTGATTTTGGTCTTAGGCGAGTTTCGGCCGCTTGAATTTCCAGCGCCCCCTCCTCTAATCCTCTTCCTTTGATTTGATGGACGCTCTTTCTTCCATCACCCTGTCCCTGTATATTTATAAGTAGAACACATACAAGGACCCTTCACAATAGTTTGGATCAAAGGTAAGTCTGCCGTTCATATGGAAAGCATTACTATTAGTTTGCTCATCCTAGTGTTCGGAACAGTTTCTGACTGCGCGTTCCATTATAGATTTCCCCCTCCAGAAAATGCGCTAGCTGCATCAATTGGACTCAACCCAACCCAATCATGGTGGTTCTTGGCTTCGGGCAGTGGTCCTCTGCTCCTTGACGGCATGGTGCTCGGTAGGGCGGCTTGTACTGCGTCTGGCCGGCCTTTGGTGGATCTAGCACCCAGTGCTGCAGTTTGGCTATCATTCGCCTCCGCGAGGTGTGGTTGGCGACGGCGGTTCTTTGTGCCTCTTCATCGATGGAGGGGCTCGATGCTAGTGGTGGTCTGCTGTCGTATTGCTGTAGGGATGTGCTCAAACTTCGGATGAGAACCCTGCATTGACTATGTCGATGTCGGCGCTAGCGGCGTTTTGGACATCGTTTCTTTGTACGAGGTGCCGTCGTGGAGCTCCAACACCTACATTGCACTGTTTTGTGGTCTCCGGATGAAAACTCAAGATCCGGGCATGTCGGATCGGATGACGGTGTTGTATCCTCGACATCACTACCTCCTTGGAGGCGTCATCTTGGAGACCCAAACGACAACTTTTGCTGCTCTGTGTGGTTGAGGATGGTGCAGTTGGTGGTGGTGGTGGTGCGGCTAGCTTGGGGCCAACGGTGGTGTGCTCTTCTTCATGTGTTCCTCTTCGGTTGCCTTCGTGTGGTCTGCGTCCTGTTGGTGTGCATGCTCAAGACCCTCCCAGATGGTCGGTGTGTTGCGGCGAGCATCGGGCTCTTGGTCTCGTCCCCGGTTCACCTTTGCTCTATGACGAAGCACTGACGCCTCCCCGACTTGCTAATTGTTCCAACCTCGCGTGGCGGAGCTCCCAGTCAAGGTTTGTGTTAAGCTTTGGCACTCGTTGATTGTGGATGCTCCTCTGTTGTGTCGCGCGGTTCGGCACGCACGCTGGTGCGGTGCGTTAGGCTGTTTGCATAATCTTGGTATTGTGATCACTCGACAACACTCCTCATCTACATTTGCCTCTCGTGGTGATTGTCGTTTGTCAGCTGCTAGGTCGTGCCGTCTCTTGGGCGTCCATGTCTTCTCTTTTAATTTAGCTTTGATACTTGTATGGTTTTCGGTCTAGTTTTTCTTATAAATGGGATCAATTTGTTAAGGTTTTCGATCCGGCTTCCCTTACAAACTGGATCACTCTTCTAACATAATGATCACTTTGAGTAATATATTCAGGTGGAGGGACTCCTCCCCCGGTGACTTTAAGAAAAACTTTCAACTGGAAAAATAAAGGCCACTCTTAGGCGCTGGCGCGCCAACCGAAATTTTGGTCGGTTGGCCCCCAGCCATCCGATGCAGCGATTAATAGTCGCCGGACATGCGCCAGAGCCCCACGACACAATGAGAAACAAGGGGAGCTGTGTTGCCCCCGCGTCGGCTTGTCCCTGATCCACAGCGGCGGCCGGATCGGCGGCAATGATCAACTCCGCTGGAGGAGGGCTCCCACGCCAACGCACCCTCGCGTGCCCCTCTATGACCGTGCCCAACATCACAGTCGGCAAGCTCGAAAAAGCGTCATCGATGACCACTTTCATCCATCGTCGCTGCTTGCCTAACTCATCGCACTGCTGGCCCCGCAGGTCATCGCCGGTTGCAACTCCCGCCCCTCACCTCTTACACTCATCACACAGGTTCCCCCACGAACGATGACCCACCTGTCTCTACCATCCAAAATGGATGTAACAAAATTCTTGCCAAGTCATAGCAAAAACTGATGGTGGTTGCAGCAAAAAGCCATCGCCGCCGGCGCAAGTCACTGCTCTGCCATGACAGATGTAGCAAAAAATCTAGTCGGTTGTAGTAAAACTCGGTTGCAGCCAAAAACGTCCTCGCCATCGTTGCGGGTCGCTGATCTGCCATGATGGATGTAGCAAAAATCTAGTCGTTTGTAGCAAACTCTGACACGGTTGCAACAAAAACGTCCTCGCCGTCGTTGCAGGTCGCAACACCGCCGTCAATGTATGTAGCAAATTTACTCGTCGGTCGTAGCAAAATCCAGCGATAGTTGTTGCAAAAAAGTCGCCACCACCGTCGTTGGTCACAGCTTCGCCTTGAATGCATGTAGCAAAAGCCATCACGGGTTCCAACATCTGGACATCACGGTTCCAGCATTTGGACGCCGTGGTTGCAGCAACCCCCATCATGCATGGTCATCACCGGCTCGTGCTGGGCGGTCGAGCGGTTCAAACAAATTGCATGACCGGTTGCAGCATTTTCGCTGCCGGTTCCAACATTTCGTTGTTTGGTTTTCAGCACCCCACAGTGGAGGTCGCCGCCTTGGTTGTAGCTCGCCACATGGCCGGTGCCAGCAAAATCCAAGGCCGGTTGCAACCTACCTCTGCACAGAAAGGGGAGAAGAAAAGGGGAAGAAGGGCGCAGGAGGTGTGGGACGACATGAAACTGTGAGGGTGGCCGGCGGCGGCGAAGGCGCGGAGTGGTGGAACCTCCAAGGTGGCGACGGCGCGCGGTCGTGGGATGGCCTGTGGCAGGATCTGTGCGGCGTGAGGAGAGATGTGGCGAAGGAAGAAGAAACTGACATGGGGTCACAACAGATGGGGGGTTTCAGGGCGCCTGATTCAGCTAGATCCAGTGGCTCGCGCGACCAGCGAAAAGTTCGCCCGACGCTCTGGGTCCAAACCTTTTCCAAAAATAAATAAAGTTGTCAAAATATACCTGAAATCTCCACCAACTTTAAACACGGATAAAAAATAATGAAAAAAGAAACATAACATCTCCACCAGCACATATTTGGGTTTTTCTTCATGGTAATACGCGTCTCATTTATATTATAAGGATCACAGTACAAGTCACGTACACACCGACTTGACAAAACTGAAAAGACAACAAAACGCTAGCCTTTACACAAAGGAACATGAGCCAAGAAGAAAAAATACAATCAAGACCGACGGATCTTCTGAACTTGACACCAACGCTCATTACCTGTCTCTGGCACCACCACACCAGTCACCAAAGGAAAAAATGACGGATCACCTCCTCACCCAAGCTCGACACGGCTCCATCGCTGATATGCAGCTTTGCGGACGTCCAAGGTGGCTCACCAAAAGTGAAACCATTACCATTGAACAAATCAGACCGGGGCAACACCCCTGACACACCATCGGGCTCCAAATCTTGCACCCCCACACGACTAAGACGTCGGAGCAGAAAACCATACCTGCCCTCCTTTGGCGGTTTTGACTTCGAACTAAGGCAACTAGAGCTACTATTCATAGGTGTGCCTAGGGCTCATTCCATACTAAGCCCACCCCCTTGTGTGTGTGTGTGTGTGTGTGTGTAAACAAGTCAATTGTCCTTGTTCATCTATCAAACATTTGTTTGGTTATAAAAAAAATCTTTGTTCATTGGTGGATTGGATTGCGCTTAGCCGTCATTTATCAAGCTTTGGTTACCAGCGTCATTTGGGCTGGTCTTTAGTGTTTTGGCTTGTTTTCAGGTTGTTGCTTCCTTTTTTTGAGGGAAGGCCATCATGGCTAGCTTTATTGATTAATGCATAAAGATACATCGTCTACGAGCTTGCTCACCAGACAATCTGGAGGCTCATCAGTCCAACTAGAAGAAAGTTTATTACAATAACTAAAATTAGCTAGCACATGCGCCGCTTGATTTGCTGATCGAAAACAATGCTTAAAGTTGACCTTCCCAATCAAGGTAGAGATGTCCACACATTTCGCGAATATCGCTGCCGCCACGTCCCACCAAGTACTCTGACCGGAGCAACAGTTGATCACCGTTAGAGAGTCAGATTCCGCTTCAACTCGCTGGAACCCTAGGCTATTTGCCAAGTTTAGTCCGTCTCTCATCGCCATTGCCTCTGATGTCATTGCGTCCGCTGCATATGGGATAAACTTACATTGAGCTGCAAGGAAAATACCTTGTTCATCTCTAATAATTTCTGCCGTAGCTCCAACTCCTTGCTCCGCAAAAAAGGCCGCGTCCACATTAAGTTTGATGAACTTTGGGTCTGGCTTCAACCATCTTTCCTCTTCTGTCACAACTATCTTTGCCATGGCTCGTTGATAGTTTCTTGTAATTGCCAAGACCGACAAAGGCCATCTTACCATCGGCGGGCAGCTCTCATTATGTGTTATAAGGCGGCGTGTCCACCAGAGGTACCAACATCCCACCACTACGACCTGTTTAATCTCCAATGTCGGCATTAGAGGTAGTGGCGTTTGATCAATAAACAAGATATACTCCATAATAACCGACCCAGATCTATCAACATTTGTTGCGGTGTTGATGAAATCTATCAATCCAAGTCGGCTCCACATACCTCTTGAATGAATACACGTGAAGAATAGATGACGAATATCTTTAGAGCTCTTGTGGCAAATTGGACACCCTCCAATTGCCCCAACGTGTCTATTAGCGAGTATACCTTTTAGGGGCAGAATTCCGTGTAGTAAATGCCAGCAAAATATTGAAACTTTACATGGAATTTGTAGCTTCCATAATGTACTCCATACCGCTGGAGTAGAAGAACCTCCCGGTCGACTGATGTCATTTTCATGTGCCCCAAATTTATGTAACCATTGGATTCTATAAGCTATTCGAACGGAGAACATCCCTTTTTTATCGGGGTGCCATGCGATGAAATCGTCAAATGCATGAAGACTTAAGGGGATTTGCAGAATCCTTCGAGCATCGACGGGATTAAAAATCATATTAATGAGTTGCTCGTCCCAAAGTCCTGTGTGAGGATCAATCAAGTCACTCACCACCGATACGACTGTTTGACCTCTGGGCGTGATGATCATTCTGTTGGGACTAGAAGGAATCCATGGATCTGACCATATGTTGATTTCATTCCCATTGCCCACTCTCCAAATATAGCCTTTTTTGAACACTTCAAGACCTTTCATAATGCTTTGCCAAGTGAATGAAGCTCTATTTTTTAGAGATGCTTGTAAGAGGCCTCCATTTGAAAAGTATTTTGCCTTAAGAACTCGTGCACAAAGTGACTCAGGTGAAGTAATAAGTCTCCTACATTGCTTAGCTAGCAATGCCAAATTAAACGAGTATAGATCTCTGAAGCCCATACCACCTTCACTCTTTGGGTAACATAATTTCCACCAAGAATACCAATGCGTTTTATTATTTTCCTCATCATCTCCCCACCAAAAACTAGCAATAATATCTGTGATTTCCTTGCAAATACCTTTTGGTAGACAAAAGACAGACATAGCAAAAACAGGAATAGCTTGTGCCACAGCTTTAAGAAGAATTTCTTTACCTCCAACTGATAATTGTTTTTCCATCCACCCTTGGATTCTTTGTTTAAGCCTTTCAATGAAGTGCTTGAAACAGTCACTACGATCAGATCCTACCATAGCCGGAAGGCCTAGGTACTTATCAGATAATGCCTCAGTATCAATATGTAATTGTTGGCAAACTTCAAATCTTGAAACTGCACTGGTAGACTGAAAAAAACACTAGACTTTGCCAAACTTACCAATTGTCCAGAATTTTGGCAATAGGTATCTAGCACTTGCTGTAAGGAAGCTGCATTTAAAACATCCGCGCTCATGAGAATCAAAGAATCGTCAGCAAATAAAAGGTGTGAGACTGACGGTGCAATCCTGCACACTTTAATTCCCTCAATGCCACCAGCTTCTTCTTCATACTGCAATAGACTAGAAAGACCTTCTGCACAAAGGAGAAATAGATAGGGAGAAAGGGGGTCTCCCTGCCTAATTCCTCTAGTAGGTATGAATATCTCAGTTTCTTGTGAATTGTACTTACTTTGTATCTTACGGATCCAACACAAGCCATCATCATTTACACAAAACTTTCATGAAATCCCAGCTTCAACACCATATTCCTCAGAAACACCCATTCTACTCGATCATATGCTTTATGCATATCCAACTTGACTGCACATAGACCTGATTGGCCCACTCTTTTATTTTTTATTTTATGAATACATTCATAAGCGACGAGAATGTTATCGGTAATGAGCCTCCCAGGAACAAAGACACTTTGGGTTGTAGAAATAATATCAGGAAGAATTGTTTTCAACCGAGCAGCAAGCATCTTTGATATAATCTTGTACAAAACATTGCAAAGGCTAATGGGTCTGAACTGAGTTACCATCTCTGGAGAGTCAACTTTAGGAATCAAAACAATCGTTGTATCATTCCATTCAGCTGGGATCTGCCTTGAATTAATTGCAATAAGAACTTCTTGGGTTATCTCCTCCCCTAATATATGCTAGTATTTTTTGAAAAAGACTGCATGGAGGCCATCAGGCCCTGGTGCCTTAAGATCACCGATGCTAAAAACAGCTTTACGAACATAATCCGGAGTATATGGAGCTAATAACATGTTGTTCATCCGAGCTGTAACTTTGGAATTGACCTTATAAAGAATAGATGGATCGATGTACTGTACCTCTGACGTAAAAAGGTTGGAGAAGTAACTCTGAATATGTGGGTTTAGTTTCGTTGTACCTTCCATCCAATTTCCATCCGAGTCTTTCAACTTTTTGATAAAATTTCGTTTTCTCCTTGCCGAAGCATAGGCTTGAAAGAAGCCCGTATTTCTATCACCATTTTTCAGCCACGAAATACATGACATTTGCATCATATGAATTTCTTCAAGTTCTAGTAGGTACTCAATCAGCTCTGAAAGCTCTTTGCGTGCTTCTTCATTGTCATCATTAATTGGGCCTCTCATCACCCTCTTAAGATCACGCTGCGCCTTACGGAGGCGCTGTTTAGGTTTCTTCAAAACCCTCTCGTCCCAATCATGGAACACCGCATGCATGCGATTTAGCTTCTCATAAACCGAATTGGCTGTAGGGTCCGATCCTACTTTCTGCCAAGCGTCCATTACAGTATCATTGAACTTTGCTTCTCGCAACCACCTCGACTAAAATCTCAATGGTCTTGCATCTTCATGAACGGGCACAGTATAGTGTTCAGTGCTGACCAACAATGGTCTATGATCCGAGTGGTTGTACTGTAAGTTTTCCAAAGCTGCCATGGGGAAAAGATTTGCCCATGCTTCATTCACCAAACCCCTGTCTAGTCGTTCTCGGATCCGTCCTCGATGCCATGTGGATTTATCACCCAAAAAACCCATATCCCTTAGCTCACAATCATCAATAGCACCTTGAAATGCATGCATATACTATTGTGGGCATGGATTCCCACCCTCTTTTTTGTGTAGAAACTGAATTTCGTTTAAGTCTCCAATCAACAACCAGGGAAGATTGTGAGCATGATGGAGATGGCGCATGTGATCCCAGGTTTTGTACTTGTTTTCCCATCTAAATTCACCATACATGCCCGTAAGTCTCCACACCAAGCTATTTGCGTCTTCCACTGTCACGTCTATATACATCGGGTCTAGGTTCAGACGCTGCACTTTGATTTCCTTTTCCCAAAACAAGATCAGTCCTCCCTTTCTACCATCTCCAGGGCACACAAACTTCTGGTCCATGTGCAATCTCTTCCTCAAACACTCTGATGGATAACTTTCAAGATGTGCCTCTGACAAAAGCATGACCTCAGGGTTGCATGCTCGCTGGACATCCAGTAGAGCTCGAACTGCCGCGGTGTTCCCAAGCCCGCGACAATTCCAACTCAAGACTTTCATGACGACTGGTCCGCCTGCGACGAGGAGACTGTACACCCGGTATTCGACAACGAAGAAACTCTCGGTCGGCGCAGCCGCCGGAGGACAGCAGATCTCCACTTTACAGCGGCTCGGTCGGCCATGTGCTGCTCACTTTAGTTCGTTTGGTTTTTTTGCCACTCGTCTTTTACTGATTGTTTGTTATCTCAGTTAAAAACAATTTTTCTGTTAATTTTCAAGAAAAAATTGGTGAAATAATTATTTTTTCAAATTTTAAAAAGATCACAAATTAGAAAGGAATTAGCAAATTTGAAAAAATTTCCATGAATTCAAAAATGTTAGCGAATACATTGTTTTTTGTGAAATTAGAAAATGTCCAAGAATTTGGAAAAAGATCATGAATTTTAAAAAACAAGAACTTAAAAAAACATTCATGATTTTTAAAAAGTTCATAATTTTAAGAAAATTTTCATGTATTTTTATAAAGAAGATGAAAAAGAAATCATGACTATTTTTAAAAATCTAGATATGCAACTAGCCGACAACCCTCCTCCCATCCCTAATTGCAGACTCATTGCGGGCATGCGGTCGCGTGTCAAAACTGGACTTGCGACTAGGACAAAAATGGGTTGGACCCAGTCGGGTGTCGTGGATGAACTTGCAACCGGGGCAAAAATGTATTGAGTTCCCCAATTCTGTATCAAGAGTAAAGTTGCAACTTGGAAAAATTGGTTGGGCTCCAGTTGCGTATCAAGGGTGAACATGCAACTAGGGAAAACATGCAGGCCCCAGTTGCATGTCATGGGTATAGTTGGACATGCAACTAGGATAAAAATGGGTAGGGCCCTAGTTGCATATCGAGGACAAACAAGCAACTAGGACAAGAAAAAAGATGACTTTTCGAATTACATGTCGGTGTGGAGTTGCAACTAGGGCAAAAATGGTTGGCCCTAGTTGTGTGTCGAGGTAGGACTTGCAAATGGAACAAAAAATGTGTAGGGCCCAATTGTCTATCGAGGGTGCGACTGAAACTGAAAAAAGGCTCCTCTCCAATTGCATGTTGGGGGTGGAGTTGCAACTGGGACAACCCCCGCCCTGTAGTTGCCTGTGGGGAGTGGACTTGCAATTTAGAAAGAACAAAATTGAGGGATGACCTACAAGTGGGGAAAAGATTGCCCCCCTGCATATCAGGGATGAGGTTTCAACTGGGACAATGGGTTGGGCCACGCGTTGTGTGTCGAGGTTGGACTCGCAACTAGGAAATAATGGGGTTCAAGACCAGTTGTGTGTCAAGGTTGGGCTTTCAACTAGGACAAAAAAGGCAGTCCCCATAGCTGTATGTGAAGGATGGAGTTGCAACTGGGATAAAATTGGCCGGGCCCCAAATTACGTATAAATACTAGAATTGCAACTCGGACAAAAAAAGACGGGCCCGCAATTGCATGTCAGGGGTGTGATTTAGAAGTTTCAGTATTGATATTACCAGCGACTATTTTAAAAACATTAGTTTCTTCTATGTAACTAACTATATTGTTAACTAGAGGATACCTCGGCATGTTGCTGCGGGAAATTTTCTCAATCTTTTGGAGATTTATATATAATAATGAAAGAAGCCAATAATCGAATGAAGAACAAAAGGTATGATACCAGGCGAGACGTTGATTGAAAAAAGCTTAAGCAATCATGTTCCATGAGGAAGTTAAACTTTCATCAATTGAATGTCATAACTCAAATTGTCACATAGCAGATTGGGGGCTCGCAAAATACGGTTACCACATTATGGTTCACATAATTTTTCATAGAGAAATATGCAACAGAAAAAGTTAAAGCGATTTGGGAATTGTGCATTGAATGTACATACGAACAATGGGGGTAAAGGTACACTATATTCAATGATAGGAAGTAATAAAGAGTTACATAGTTGAACATATTCTAAAGTATATGTCTTCAGGAATGCATTCTGATATATGCAAATATCTATTGCGTGTGCCGAAGATGCATGCTTAGTTGAAGCCATATATTTAAAGCAACTTCGATGGGATGAGATAAACATTCATTAATTGTAGTGCTCCCTTTCGTGAAACAAATTTAACTGTGTCCAAGTATCAACTTAAGTAGTCAAAGAACCTACCTGCATGTTATACCAGACAAAAAAGAATTGAAAGTAACTTCGATGGAGATGAGATAAACGTTCATTAATAATAGTGCTCCCTTTCCTGAAACAATTTAATTGTGTCCAAGTATATATCAGCTTATCTATCTATCTCTTATGAGCAATTTTTTTTACCGAATCCAAAAATTCCTTACCACTATCACCAACATGGACAAAGGAGGGATGCACTCGTCCATAAAACACAATTCTAAAAACATGAAAGGAGTTTAGGGTATCGGTTCATCATTCCATACAAAAAATTAAGGCGGAGTGGGAAAAATTGTATCCAGAGAGGAACCGAATGGCATACACATGTTGTCGGCATCATAGACCCATGTTTTAAGGTGGAGTGGAAAAACTGTATACAGAGAGGATTTTTGAATGGCATCTACATGTTGTCAGCATCATAGAGTAGACACCCATGGTGGCAGAGCCTCTAGTCAGGCTTCTTCATATGAGGCATGGTGGAGGCTCGATGGGAATAAAAGTTAAGGAAATCTATGGCCTCCTCTTACCCCAATAATTTCTTCATATCAGATCAAGCATTGCCAGGAATTCGTCCTCCACCATTCCTAGCTCCTGGTCCAGCTTCAAGTGATC